CTTTCGTAAATTTGCGTAAGTGCTATGAAATCTATTTTCTGAAATATTTTCTGCTTGATAGAGAAATCCCTTAATGCGAATCTGAAGTATTCAGCCTAAAGGATCATGGCGACTTCGTGTATAATCGATTAATTTAGAAGTCAATTAACCGATAAATCTATGTTTACTAAAAATAATAAACGAATTATCGAATATTTTTAATAATCTATCATTTTCAAATATTTTTTTTTTCGTATTTCCTTTAAAATCGATTATTCGATAATCTTTAAAAAATTGAAAATAACGATTAATTAAAAATCCGATTAACCAATAAATTTTTCTAAAAATAAATGAATAATCGAATATTTTCGATCAATCAATTAATTTAAAATTATTTTTTTTCGTATTTTCTTTAAAATCGGTTAATCGATTTTTTTTGAAATACCGAAAATATACGATTAATCAAAAATAATTGATTAATTAAAAAGACGATTATTTCTAAAAAATCCGAATTATCGATTATTTAAAATAACCGATTATATTCGATCAACCGATTATTTTCAAATAATCTTTTTTATTCGAAATTATTGAAAATATTCCATTAACCGAAAATAATCGATTAACTAATTAAAATCAATTAAACAATAAATCGATTTTTCCAAAAATATAAGCAAATTATCAATTATTTATAATAATCGATTATTTTTGATTATTTTCAATCAAACGAATATTTTCAATTATTATATTTTCTTTTTGTTTTTCCTTTAAAATCGATTATTCTATTATCTTTCGAAAATAATTTTTTAAAAATATTCGATTAATCGATTAATTATAACCGATAAATCGATTTTCATAAAAATATAACCAAATAATCTCTGTAGCCCATTTATCATTGAATTTATTACTCATATTATAAACATGTGCATTAAAAACTCTAATTTTCCAAAGTCATGGAAACATGCAATGGTAACTTCACTTCCTAAAATTGCTAAACCGTTAGAGTAATTTCATCTAAGAGGTATTAATATTCTGCCTACTTTATCAAAGATTCTTAAAAGAGTTATTGAAAAAAAATTAAGAATATATTTAAATACCAATAATATTTTGCCTTCTCATAAGTCTGGATTTAGAGCTGGTTATAATTGAGGAACAGCAGCCTTGGCTGCTGTTACTGATGATATAATTTCGTCCCTTGATAAAAATGAGCTGGTTATCCTAATTTTAATTGACTATTCTAGGGCATTTGATGCTATAAATCACCGGATTCTATTGGCAATTTTACATTTTGTAGGGTTAAGTGCTTATCTCATTAACCGAACTCAACAAGTTAAACTTTATCTAATATTAAAGAGATAAAGCATGGTGTTCCCCAAGGCAGTATTTTAGGACCGCTTTTATAATCCATTTATACTTCAAATTTACATACTTGTTTAAATTTTGGTATCATCTATATTCAGATGATACTCAGCTTTATTATTCTTTTAAAAACAATGACATTTTAGATATTAATGATAAAATTAATCCATACCTTTCTACACTTACAAATATCTCAACTAAGCATAATTTAATAATAAACGCGAAAAAATCATCGGCCATTCTCCCAAAAAAGGCAAGCTCTCAATCAGCTAACATTGAGGTTAAACAATGAAAGCTTAATATTTTCTGACGTTTGCAAGAATTTAGGATTATGTGTAGATTCAAAATTGAGATTTAAGGAAGATATAACGAATAGAATCCGTAAAGCTTATGGGTCTCTAAAGCTTATTTTTAATCAAAGAATCTACCTAAAAGCTGATAATAAAAAAACCCTGTGTGAAACCCTGGTTTTATCTCATTTTAACCAATGTGGCCTAGTATACGCCCCTTGCTTAGATAATTGTGATATGCGCCTTATTCAAAAGTGTCAAAATTCTTGTCTACGGATGATTTATGGTATCAGGAGAAGAAAACGGATCTCACATAAATTAACGGAAACAGGATGGTTGAATATGTCAAAGCGTCGTAAATTACATTCATTGTGTTTTTTTATAAAATAAAACTTCATCATATTTGCACAGTAAAGTTAGATTCCTAACCGATACCCATAATTTAAATTTAAGAAGAAGAGATATCATAATAAAGAATTATTTAAAAGATCCTTCTCTTATCAAATATCTTGTTATGGAAATCTACTGGATGTACCTACCATTTTATAGTGTATCAATAGAATGTTTCAGAAAAACTTAAAAAAAACGGTTATTAGCAGAACAAATGAACTGGCAGTAACGAATATGAATATTCAGTTTTATTAAGATTTTTTTTAATGTATTATTAAATTAGAATTTTAATTTTGGGCTCCAATAGCATTATAGAACTATATTTTAGTTTGTTTTTCAATGGGCAGTATGGAAGAATCGGTTTTTGAACCTAATACTGTACCATTTATTTACCAATGATTGTTATTTTTAAACATATCTGTAATCAGTTTTTTGTTTTGGTAAATAATAAATTTATTATTATTATTAATTATTATTATTATGTCAAAACGTTAATAAATATTTACCGCTGAAAACGAATATATTTCTTATCTTTCACGATATTAGCACCTTATTTTATAAGTATACCTATACAATTTTTCACGATACATTGTGGTGTATTTATGTTGAAATTGAATAACTAAAACACTTTAAATTACTACCAACAAATAATTCAAAAAACGACGCTTCATGATGATTTAACTGATGATTTTTCCATGGCATACTTTAGATTGGTACATTTTTTTATGTATCATTCCACATATCTAAAAGAACCCAAAGTATCTAGAGCAAGTTGTGACAAATAAAGAAATAATCTGTTTTTATGAGGCACCAGTAGTCCTGGGTCAACATTGCTCAATAGAAGGTAAATGGTAACCAGATTGTTTTGAAGTAAAATATTTGAGGCCAAAGTCTGCGTTATCCGTTAATGAAAATATCTAGATATGCTTCAATAGCAGTATATCATAATATTTACCAATAATCGAAGATAAGAGACATGCTTGACATACTTGCCAATAAAGCAGCGTCCCACCTTGCTGAAATGATACCAAAAAAATAGTATAACATCGATAACGACTGTATTGAAAGTTATGGCACATAATATTGAAAAAATTCGTGATTGATTAAATATCCCCAAAACTACCCACAGCGCACAGTTTATTTTTATAAGTATACCTACATTAATATAATTCAGACAATGCTCTAGGATATGAAGGAATAACTTAAATGACGAAATACAGAATTCACTCCCATAAACCCCCTATGCGCCACCTACACTAGCGAGGTCACTTCAGTGGAGTACCCACGGGGAGGTAACGGGGATATATCCCCCAGGAAGTCCCAGCGCGTCCGCAAACTCAAACACATCATCCAAGTGATAAGTAATCATAAGAAAAAATAAGAATAAGAGACCTCTAAATTGCTTTATAATAATTACTCAAGATAGGTGAGAATTTTTTGAGAATATTTGGTTGTTTCCTTGGCAATTTGTATAATTTGTAAGAAAATAAGAAAATGGTCTGAAAAAATATCTCATCTCGCGTGGTATTTGGAACGATTATTTCACAATATAAAAGTAACTTTTATAAAAAACATTTACTTTATTTCCATAAGATAAAGACCAAAGTAATGTCGATTTTTGTTTACAATATAAATTTAAACAACCAAAACGATTTGCGCCTTCAGTGTTTTCAAATACAGTTTGTTTTGATTGGCGTGTGTTGAAAAAAAGAGGATTGTCGTTGTTTGATGTATTATAAGTGTTAGTGAACGCTACAAGTTATTCCTACCCTATACAGTGTGGATCAGTAGTATATAATAATTAAAAACCTATTTCTAGATGATTTCTAGTCTGATACAAAATAAACTGTTTTCATGAAGTTTTACTTTTCTTATATAATTTCTAGTTCATGAGATATAGCAATTGTAAGTTTTTAAATTGAGGGTATCTTGTGTAGAATCGCGATAAATAATTAAAATCCAAAAGATATTCGTTTATATTTATGAATTTTAATAAAAATCAAGGTGCGAAAGGTCCGAGTTTCAGATCCTGGTTGAAGCCAAATTCTTGTTTTTATTGCGATTAACTAAAGACTAACTTTTCTTTGGTCAATTTATTAAATTAAAGATCAAACATCCATCCAGTGATTTAAGATGGATGTCTTTCCCGACATTAAGTCAGTTACGTAAGGCAGTGCTGGTTACAACAACCTTTTTGTCCGATGTATTTTATGTGAAAATGTCTAAAAATTTACCGAATTATGATGTTTAAACATTTCATTTAATTACTATTAAAAAAAGTCCGATTTACCTACTTTGCTTTTTACTTATATACTCGTATGTTTTGACGAGTACGTTTACTAATGCTTAAACTATATTTACCGATGGCTGAAAACCGAAAACGCTCCACTTATTTTAATAAAGAAGAAATATATTAATACATTTTTACATCATTTCTACTACACACTTCGAAATACAAATTTATTTTCATTAATTAATTAAATAAGAGTTCTTGAAATATCGGTTAACTCTATTGAACATTCATCACAATAACATTTCTACTTTTAAGGTTTTACATGTGGATTTTAAACATGCTTTGTTAATTAGGTTATTTGAATTACAGGCATCCTTTTTACTTTTAGAAATTAATTTTGTCAAGCAATCATAAATGCTTTTTTTATTAATATAGTTTGAAAGAAGGAAACATTTTATTTTTAATTAATTCTATTAATATATTTTGAGCAGGTTCGATATAATTTTATGCATTCAAAGAAAATGTGATCGACTGGATACACGTTTGAATTTTGGATTATTTTATTTTAACTACTAAATTAATTTTTAAAATTTTATAGATTTTCTTTAGTAAATACTAGAAAAAATATTCTGCACAACTTGGGGCGATTGTTAGTTATCGTACTCACATGATTGACCGCTCCGCCTACGACGACGTGCTCAAACTTCTTGCGATCATTCATGTTGCACAAACTACTATTTTTCGGTACTCACCATTCCTTGTCGAACAACTAGCTAATTCACGAAGTGCACACTTTATTAGCCAATTTGTTCCAAGCACTAGGACTATTTAGTTAGATCTTTCTTGAAGTACTTGCTTTTATCTACGTCAACTTATTTTACCTATCTGAGCTCATCAGCTATCAGCTATTACTAAATAAATGACAGAGTGATTGATAATAGACCAGTAAAAAATGATAAGCCTTTTTAAGACAATAGCTGGTATTGCAATTTTTATTTAAATGCAAATTTTTGTTACCTACTTCATGTACAACATTTTTCGGCAGACGCAAATCCTTGATTTGCTAGTTATACAGCCTTTACTGCTAATTATACAAAATTTGGGGGGTAACATCTGACAGATACTTTCAATGTGTCGAAAAATGACCGCACTTTATAGGAAACTTTTTTTAATTTAATTTTATCAGAATAAGTTGGTACTTGACCTAAAACCCACTACGAACTTTGTACAAATTAAAAAATTTGAACCATATACGAGAAAGATAAGAAAATGTGAATTTAGCTCAAGACTAAAGAATTCTTATTGTTAAAAACAGAGGAAGATGTTACTCGAAATCATTATTTATCAGCAAATATAAAAAATCATAGTTGGATTCTAACAGAAAATCTTTACTATTGAGCCAAATTCATATTTTTTAGTAAATATAGAAAATTGTAATTTCTTTAAATTCATTCTTTTTGGCCGATTTTTTTAATCACTCTGTAGATATTAAAGGTTTCTTGGCACAAAATTGCGCAACTTTTGTCTAATTTTACCAACTTTGTATATGTTATCGTTTAAGAAATAGCAATACTTTTATTTATTTCAACGGTCAGCTATAAATAAACCGAATCCAACACAAGGCATTCAAAGCCACATCGGTGAAACCACGATTTCAACAAACCGATGGAAAAAAAGCTTAGACTAAGTAATAAAGAGAGGACGCATAACAAGTATTTTGAGCACACGTAGTAATATGTGCCAATTATCTAGTGGCCACCATTATGGTGATTAGCATTTCGGTGACACCAAAGTTTTTGTTCGTGTTTATTTCTGATTTTTGAATTAAACGACATTAAAAAATTGGTTTATCAATGGTTTATTGTGTGGCATATCAGTGTAAAAGTTATAGCGGCAAGAAAGAAGCAGATATTACGTTTCATAGGTAAATGATAAACATCAATCGTTTTTACTTTATATATTTTCTTATATTTTTCGTTTTATTTGGTGTTATACAACTTGGTATTTACATATTGTACATGTCTCACTCCAGAGTACTAAATTTTACCCACCAAGTTTATTTATGCTGTTCATTGATGTTTAAGCAATTAATGATATTAAAGTGGCCAAACAAGTAATTTTTTCCAGTGGCGTGTCGTACAATTCTAAATATTAACTATTATTAAATTCTCATTTACTTTTGCTTTTTATTTAATTGCAGCAAGGTTTATTTATTGTTTTGTTTTAGATTTCCTGTGGATCCAGCAAAAAATCTTTGGATTCAGGCAAGGAAAATTGCAAATTGGATGTTTACGCCAAATGATAGACTATGTCCAAAACATTTTGAAGAACATTTTTTTTATGGGAAGGACTGTAAAAGACGTTTACTAAATGGAGCAGTTTCCACTATATTTCCTGAATTCCCTAAATACATGCAGCCGAAGAATGTGCGTATACTAATAAACATAATTAAACATATATATTTTTTTAATTACTTTTCATTATTATGTTATGCACTTTTAAGAATTTAGCAACCCTTTTGTGTATAATTCAAAACATTACACAACATTACCGTAATAATTGATTGTTTGTAGGACTTAAAAAGAAGAGCATTGCATTTGGAAGCTGAGCCAGGCCCTTCAAGTAGAACTGCAAATAACGATGAATCTATCCTGGAAAGCCCTAGCATAAAACGGCATAGATGACAACTTTTAAAACAGGTAGAAAAATAAAGAAAAGAACAAGACAAATCGAATTTCTTAAACAAAAACTTATAAGATATAAAAAAAGAGTTGTTCCGCTAAAACTTCTTGTTATTATACCAAATTAGTATTATTTAAGGGTCAGTAATAAATTAGTCTTCATTTATGTATATAATTTTTCTTACTAGCTTAATTTAATAATACCCAGACAGCACACTACATCTTAAAGAAGTCCAGTTTATGTCTTACTTTCGTTCAAACGTCCTGGTATGTATAACGGACGGTTTAAAACGTCTTTGTTGGGATGTTTTAGGACATTTTAATATGTCGGTAATGTGGACGTTCAACTATTTTCGCTATATTTGAATATGGCGCCACGACACCGTTCTTGGCGCTTCCTGCAGTGCATGAATGATCGTCATTGTCATTGGCTGATTGCATATTTTCGCGCGCGCGTATCGAGTCGTGTTCTTCCTCTGGCTGCCTTCTTCTCGGGACACCCATTCTATAATATTTTTAGGGTCAGTCTGTGGACTTATGCCGCGTTTGAAAATCCACATCCGATGCATTTTTATATTTTGAGCGTTTGTTTATCCACATCGGACACATGTGTCCCACTATTACGTTGTCGTGGTTGTGTGTTTTTATGTATTGTCTTTTTATATTATTTAGTTGCCATTATAACCTCACTTTAATAATGTCTTATTTTTTAGGAAAACACCTTAAAACAATAATTTAACAAAATTATATGCTATGGAGACATTAGTTACAGACGCTTTGGCATTTATTAATACACGCGACATGTGCAGTCTTTGGACGAGCCCTGTCAGCTTTTTTGAATGCAACATAGCGGACAGCCAGCTATTTTTTATAACTTTACTGGAAATTTCTAAGGAATCCCCTTCGTTCATTGCTTGTATTGAATCGTTGTGTGTTGTGTTGTGTTTTGAGTTATCGAGGTACATTCCATGCAGTTACGCTGTGGTATGGTACAGGCTAGGGGATCTTTAATAGGGAAATGCTTACTCGTGTTGTAGTACTGTGCACCACCCATAGATGGCGCTACTTTACACAAAGTTTGCTCGTTGCATTCGTCGAGCAGATTCAGAGTGTATTCAGAGCAGGTTCAGAGTAACGCAAGTGTACGCAAGTTGTTATTTAAAACTTTCAACAGTTATTCATAGAAAAAAAACGCCATTAATGGCAATAATGGTAATGGTTGATTTGTTTTATTAGGTTAGTTGTTCGAAGAGAATTTTTAAAGCTTTGTTATAATTATGGTGCCAATTCGTCCTTGTGCTGATCCAGATTGTCAGGATAAAGTTAGTCGCAGGTAAGGAATAAATTTACAATTTTATTTCTTTACAAGTAAAAACTTATTTTTGTATTTTATTCTTAAATACTTTGCCAAATTTTAAGAGCATATAATATTACTTAAAAGTACCCAATTTGTGAAATAAATTTCCAAAATAATGCGGGTAACCTAATGTTTTCTAGGAAAAATTAAAAATCTTAACCTAACTTTTATCATTTTCTATACAATTTCAGTAACTAGATAAAATATGTGAATATTAAGAAGATTGAAATAAATAGTGTTATTAGTATTTTTTTAGAATTATACAATATGTAATGGATACTTTATAGTAGATACCTATATACAATTTTTTTTCTGAATTCAAAATGAGGTACTTTTCAAACATACCAATAATTGTATATTTTATATTGTGCGACTCTTATTATTTTTTGCTCCATATACTGTGACCTACCTCACCTAGGTATCTTCACAATTTATTAATTCCAATTAATAAAAGTTGCATTCTTACTAAAATCAAATTCCTTCATTTTATTGAAAAATCTTCTACGATATATTTTTAAGAAATGCCGATTCATTCTCACTAGCTAATAAATTAATAGCTCAGCTGAATTGACTCAAAACAAAAATAATAAAATTGAACTTTATATTTTTTAACTGATACTCTTCTTCAATTTTTACATGAAAACGAATCAGCAAACACTGCAATAGGAAGTGACAAGTACACCCAACAGCAGCCAGAGCCAACTTTCACCAGGACTTTCGTTACAACTTCTAGTGGATACAACCATGGGTGAACTTCGTAATAGTTTTATATTCATATTTCTTTATTATTGTGTACTGTAATAAGAATTCGTGCAATTTTAATTCTAATAATAAAAAATATATGGTTATAATCGTGTTTTACTTCATAATAAGATGTATTTTTGTTCCACAAATCCAAAATTATAATTTTTCGTTTTCTTTTTAACTTAAAATATTTCAAATTTTATCTATCACAGAACATAACCCAATGGATTATATCCATCTAAGTATGTTGAGTGAAGAATAAAATGTTTGAATCATTTTAAGTAAAAAAGAACGAAAAATTATAATTTTGAAAACTTAGTAGTGGTTTATTAGAAAGGCCGAGTTTGAAAAACCCGCGCTCATTGACCTCTACCGTCATCTATATAATAAATTTTGAACAAATTTTCAATTATTAGTTATCTTCTTTTTTTTTAACTCAACTATTTGCAACCGCTACGGATGGCGCTGAAAGATGAGTAAAATTTTTTACTGTTGAGTGGCCCATCTTTAAAGGGTATGGTCTGTGGTATGGTATTTAAAAATTAAAAATTGTTGTGGTTTTCTGACTGGATTTTTACTGTACAATCAACCAAATAAATAAGCTTTTCACGGCGAGTATTGTTGGCAATTTTCATATAAGAACTTACTTAAGGAGTAGAAATGCTAATTGCCATGCCGTAAGGTTTTCAGATCTTCTGGCACTTAATAATATTAGCATGTACGAAAAAAATGATAATGAGTTGACTCCGATTCCGATTAGATTATATGTTTTTAGTGTTTATGGGTTAAGTGTTTATTGTTTGACTTATTTTATTTTTTAATATGTAATATTTTTTATTTTCAATGATGTCCCATATAAACTATTTTTTAATTAGTACTTATTGGTGTTTGAATTTCTATCGTTAATATGATTTGCTAACATTCCAATGAGTCAAAACAGTGTAAAATACGTATAGTTAAGATTTACGCTAATCGGAAGAGAAGCCAGTGCAACGTTAAAATTTTTTTTGTCCCTTTAATTAGGCAACTCATTTGGCTACTGATTTCTACTGAATTTTAGACAGGTAACTGCCTGGCAACACTTCCCGACAGTTGTGGATCGTTATTTCTCAAAACCAGTACAGACTGAACAGACCACTCGAAGTATGT